GTTGCTCAGATGCAGCCTTTCCATTCTATTACACTTATAGTTTATTGTTTATATTTAACCCACCCTATTCCAAAGGCACCAGAAAGCACCAATGTCAAAATTCCACCTCTCCCCGACATCAACCCATTAGGATGATAATTAATGATTATAGAGATTGTTAGGTTTTCGTAATTGTCTAGTTGAGCTGCTCCTGTAGGCTGTGCCTGACAGTGTATAAATAGTAAATACAAGAGGAGATTCTATAGAGTTTGTTTGGATACAGAGAGCTATTTCTATGGCTGGTGTTTTAAAAGTGCATTTGACCCGCCTGAATTATGTTTGTCCCACAGGTTAAGTGTTGGGTAGAACATGTAAGAGAAATCATATGGTCTGCCAAGCTAATATAAGAACAAAGTTTGAGTCCAGTGGCACCTTTAAGACCAACAAAGTTTAATTCTTAAAGGTGCCACTGGACTCAAACTTTGTTCTACTGCTTCATATCAACAAAGCTATCCACATGAATCCAAACTAATATAAGGTTTGTTTTCACACTACAAGTTGAGCACAAACCTAATTAAACATCACACCTGAAAATGCCCTTCTTATGTAAGGGCCCAAGCACTTAAGGCCTTTATAAACAAAAATGTCACCTTGAATTTTGACTGTACAGCTGGCCAGGGCAGATGTTGCCACATTTCTGTAATGTGCTTTTGGTGAGCCACTATAGTTGGACATAAGCTGCTACATTCTGTGTAAACTGAAACTTCTGAACAAATAATCTATTGTGATGGTCTAGCCATGAGACTGAGATGGTATGTGGTCACGAGGTCTGAATTTGGCTGCATGGAGGTTTCACAGCAGCAAGAAAAAGGTCAAACATGCTGCCAAGTGAAGTTCTAGGCCCTCTGAATGGATCTAGGAGCCCTCCAAAGCGAGTGAGCTGAAATGCCTCAGTGACAGAAGATTGACTGACCATTTAGCCTTTGTGTGTGTGTGTAGTGCTGTCAAGTAGCAGTCAATTTATGGCAATTCCAGCAAGGGGCTTTCAAGGCAAGGGAGAAGTGGAGGTGGTTTGCCATTGCCTTCCTCTGCAGAGCCTTCCTTGGTGGTCTCCCTTCTGACCCTGCTTAGCTTCTGAGATCTGATGAGATCAGGCCTTCCCTCCTACTCAGCCTTTAGAATGGCTTTAGTTCCATTCTGGCAGCCCAGATGCACTGTTTGACCAGCAGCAGATATAAACAACAGAGCCTTTATGCATGATTAAAGGAAGTGGGCCCCCAACTGCATCTTAGCCTTAACATAGCACTCCCTTCAGATTCCATTCTATTGTTAGTACAGTTGTAGCTTTTGGATAACCTTGGTGTACAGAAATAGTGCTGTACTGTTTACAGCTATTTAAAAATAGAGTGGGTGCTCCAGTCCTGGATTTATACAGCAGGTGTTTTCACAGCTGGCCCTTTACATTTTAAAAAAGGTTTCCTGAAATGGCATATATGAAGATTTTGCCCTCCCTCACAGGGTTTTTCATTTTTCTTCATCTTCTCCACTGAGCAGCCCTTTTTTCATTTTCTCCTTTGTTTTTCTCTCTGGCTGTCCCACCTGGTCCCTTGAATGTTTTTAGAGATATGCTGACCCAGTCTAGGGGAAATGAGGGGAGAGACCAAAATACTTATTATGTCCGATTTTGAAAATGGCACACAAGAGACTGATGGTAGTTCAAAAATAACAAACTTTTATTTAATTTTGATGGGAAATGGTAAGGATGGAATTCCTGTGTAAACTTATGAGGTGAACAAATAACAGGAAAGAGGTAAATGTGTATTCAAATAAATGCCAGATAATTTGTCACAAGGAAGTAACTGTTTCTGTTATTAAGACAAGTCTTTAAAACTTGAGGAGAGAGATTTCTTGGCAGTCTCTGATTAAATACACAAGCATAAGTTTCTTTGTCTCACAGACACTTAAGTTGGTGAAGACAGGAACATTCAAACAAGTTCCAGTTTCCTTATCCACTGCCTAAGGATCACCTTTCTTTTAGGAGTGTTTCCTTTAGACTCAATAGAGATCATACACACCCCTTTTCTAGGAGCTATTTCTCTCAGGCCTGAATGGAGATCCTTCTTGATCCTCTCATAGCCTTAGCCTTCTTTCTCAGTCAACTGTCAGTTCTTAACTGCCACTCCTAACTGACTCTCTCAACTGAAGAATTCCGTTTGAATCCCCTTTCAAGCAAAGTTCTCAGGCCAGGTTACAGCACACAATGCAGAGGTGAAGGTGATTCAGAGGTGTAACTGCTGAAGCCTCCAGAACTAGCATGCATTTGTGTAAAGCCCTTTCCTAGTGAAGATTAGAAACTTATTTTTAAAATATTGGATTGTTCTATCGATTTTATAAGATTGCAACGGAAGGTAGCTAGATTGCAACATCTTTAAGTACAGTCAAAATTTCTAAATGCCATCCCTATTAGAGAGGAATTTAACATGGTGGGACCGGGAATGTGGCTCTGCTTTTTTCCTAATTGCTCATGACGTGGTGCCATTTCTTCCCATTTCCACCAGCTCAGAACACTCCACCAGCTATTATGAGTTCCTTGGCGTGAACAGTTGTCAGGATGTGGTTCACCTGTACCGGCTGCTCTGGTCCTCCACTGTCTTGAACATCATTGGCTTGTTTCTTGGCATAGTTACTGCAGCAATACTTGGTGCATTTAAAGATGTGGTAAGGTCTTAAACTATTCCAGTGATAAAAATCTGCATAGTGGGTGGTATCCTGCCTGAGCCTAGAAGTTCCTCCAGTCTAAGACGTCTTACTCCAACTTAAGTGGAGAAAGAGCCACTTCTATTAAAGGGAGCTTTCTTATGCTGGAGGAAGGCATTTCAAAGCTGAGGCACACCAATGAGTAAGTGCTGTCTGTGGTTGCCACTTAGGGTTGCCAGGTTTGTTGGACCCACGGTGGTGGAGGGAGCATTCTGGGAGCGGAAAGTGACGTACCCAGAAATAAACGCAATGTGCCTACATCACTAGGCATGTCAGTGACGTTAGGGGCAACATTATAGTTTTGGGGCAAAACTCTATGGTAAAATTGGCTTCAAACCATAGAGTTTTGTCCAAAAACTAGAACATCACCACCACCCTCAACATTACTGACGTGCTCACGTCTCTTCTGGGTAACATAGGCACATTACATTTACTTTCTGCTTCTTTCTTCCCTGCTCCTGGTAAGTTGTGTTTATTTCCAGCTTGGGGTGTGTCTGGCATCCCTTCCCCTCGCTTTCTAATAGCCCTGAAGTGGGGGTGGACTCCAAACCAGGGGATCCCCTGCCCCCAACTGGGGACTGGCAACCCTATTGCCACCTGCCTAACCTCTGAAGGTCATGGCACAGAGAACAGGCCTTCAAAATAAGATATCAGCTGGTGGGCTGAACAATATGGATGGAGGCAGTCCTTCAAGTACCATCTAAGGCTTTAAAACCCACACAGTGACTTGTGCCCAGAAACAGATGGGCAGCTAGTGAAGATCTTTCAGCACAGGGTGGATATTATCACTTTTATCAATGCAATATGAATATTGAGCAAACTTCAGAGGACGGCGGAAGACAGGAAGGCCTGGTGTGATCTGGTCCATGGGGTCGTGAAGAGTCGGACTCGACTGTGCGACTGAACAACAAAAAATGAATATTGTAAAGCCCTAACACATTCCAGTTAATATACTGTTTCTACCCAGCCAACCTCCTTTCAAACATCTGTTCTCTGTACATGGGATAGAAGTTCAGGTTATGCAGTTTACAGAATATGGGGGTTTTTAGCCCTAGAATATTGCTATCTGTATAAAATTATACCATTATGTGTACTAGGTTTCTGAAGTCCAAGCTTTCATTTTAATAAGTTTCTAACCCTTTCTACTGTAGGGGAGGGGAAAGGAGCTTGTAAGCCACTCTGAGACTCCGAATGAAGGGCGGGGTATAAATACTACTACTACTTCTTCCCCACCTTACATCTCTGCACCAGAAGGGGCTAGAAGTTCAATAAATATAAAAGCAGAGAAAACCTAGTACATATAGTAATATAACGTTATATTGTTATAACTACATTCTAGGGCTGATTTCTTTTAAAAATTTAAAGCCTACAGGATGCAGGGGGAGGAAATCTTTCTTTTTAAATTGTTGAAGTAATAATAGTTAAGATTGTTTTGCCTTCCCACATCCCTCAGGGGGAAATCAAAGGTTAGGACTAAAAACCACAGGACAGGGCAAAACATGTGGAATATAAGACAGTGAGAGTAAATGAGAGAGGTTTATCCTGGATAGTATCAGACCCTCGAGAGCAGGGTGATTACATTCTTCAAACATGGCTCTGGGCCTGTACAGGTGTCTTGCTACTGCCTTAGGCCGGCAGTAAAATGGTTCTTGTGAGGAGAGAAGAATGGTTTTCCCCTCCTTAGTCCTGCAGGTTTACTTGCCCTGATGGGTGCACTTCCTCTTCAGCTACAGGGAGGCAATTGTTCAAAGAAAGAAGCACATGCTGTGGAGCGTGGAAGCAGCACAGCAGTGGCTGTACATGTTTAATCCAACTTTCTTTCCTTACATATTTTAAGACTGTCTTTCCCCCACAGATCGTGGGCATGAAATGGTTTAGAACAGAAGTATTTGAGTAATTCTGCAGTGCTTCCTCCAACTCCTCCTCCCCCCGCCCGCCCCAACCAGGGGGTATCTGCTTAACTCATCAAGGTTATTCCTTTTCCTCACTGGGTTGCTTGCTGCTTCCTTCTGTCAAGGTTATTTTATGTATGGAACATACTCAGCAAAAAGAGCTGGAGAAAAATGTTCTATCAAATAATTTCTTCCTGACATAGCTACCTATGCAGAATGACCTGGATGTGTTTCAGTTCTGCCTCTACAATGAAAATCTTCTGATTATGCAAAAAAAAACAACCACCCAAAACCGTTCTACAACTGTCTGCAGAAAGGCATCTGCTTAACAATGGCAATCACTTTGCCTGAAATGTCTAGAAATTGGAAACTATTCAAGGTATTCTGATTGGTATCTGCTAGGAACTGAACAGCATTCATACATGCAATCAGACGCCTGGGGAGTCTTGCCAATCACATCCCCTGCTTGCACACCTGTTGACTTTTTTGTTACATAAAAGAAAGTGAGTTTCCATCATTAAAAATAGAAATCTTTACAATTTGAATTGCACTTTACCTAGATTAGGACATTGTTTGGGGAAGATGTTGAGGCCAAAGTAGATGTTACTGCAGTCGTGGGTCCAACCTGTGGCCTCTGACACAATTTAAAAGAATTTGGCCATTTAAAAAGGCTGCAAGGCTCTTTTAGCACTGGGAAAGGTATGTGGAGGAAACAAGATTGCTTGGTCCTGCCGTGCAGGATCGGGCTCTTATGGTATTTTTAAATGGCCGTTTTTTTCTTTAAAATGGTGGCAGCAGACCCATAGTCACCATAATGTCTAGTTTGGCCCTTAGTAACTAACCAATGGCCATATAGACAAATAATCTGATGAATATGAAAATCGGGACTTGGCAAATAAACAAAATATTGGTTCTTTTCTTGTGTTGTGCAGGCACCCATGTCCCAAATTGCCTTCAGCTCTGCTCCTCCACCACAGATCCTCTATAATCCAGCTCAGCAGATTTTGACGTACACTGGATTCTGTCCTTCTGCAGCAGCTGTTCCTCATTATCCATCCTATCATTTACCTCTTCAGGTAGGTGCAGGAGCCTTGTTGCTTTATCTGTCTGCTAGTTACTCCACTGTGGCACTGCTAGACATCCCATTTGCCATGGGGAGCTTCTCTTGGTGACAGGGAGAGGCTCTCCTCTTTTGCTCTTGTGCCAGTTCTGGTGTAGTGTTCTGGTGTCCTTGAAAAAGAGCAGTTTCTGTCAAGAGCTCTCTCAGCCCCACCTACCTCACAGGGTGTCTGTTGTTGGGAGGGGAAGGGAAAGGAGTTTGTAAGCCGCTCTGACACACCTTTGGGTAGTGAAGGGCAGGGTATAAATCCAATTTATTCTTCTTCTCTTCTTCATTCCTAAATAATCTTTCACTGATCAATATTGTATGTGTTCACAGTGCAAGAAATACACAGAATGAGACCCTCTTCTCCCGACTATAAAAGTGTATGCCGTGTGTCATCTCAAACATTTTATTGCTGTTACAAGTTAACATTTAGGCAGTCAGCACAGAGCATACATTAAAAAACTAAGCCAACAAATTGCACTCCTGCTGAGCAGACACTTAGACTCTACTGCGGCAGCTTTCAGATGTACTGAAAAGTTATGCTTTTTTTTTAAAAAACAACCCATGGTCTGTGCAATGAAATATATCCTTTGCAGGCAGAGACCATGATAGGGAGGATGTCCAGACATAAGTAACAAATCCAGATGTGAGTAACAAGACATACAACAATACTTTTGTTTATAAATCAGTTATTCTGCTTCTTGCCTCGCTCCCAACTCCCAGACATCCCCTCTCTACTACTGTAAACTGTCCTTGAGTGTTGCTATGTAATCTGTATCCAGTATTTTATTTATTTGCTTATTTAAAATATTTAGCGACCGTCCTTCTTCCTTGCAGAACTCAAGGTGGCTTACAATATTAATATAATACTTAAAACAGATCACATTTTTAAATTTAAAACCACGCTTTAGTACTGCTGTAAGCAAATGCAGTCCTAAATTGAAACCATATTCAGCTGCCTCCTGCTTGTGAATGTTTAAGACTCGTGAAATCTAGTTGGCAGTAAACCACCGAAAGGTGCAAACTACAGCAGTGCCTTGTGGCATCTTAAAGACTAACCTGAACTTTCACGAACCCAGAGTTGAAGCTAATGGCACAATCCATTTGTCAGTCCTCAAGGCACCATTAAGACTCCCTTGTTGCTTTGGCTACAAGAAACATGGCTCTGACATTTGTCGCTGAAACCTCTCTCTTGTCTCATTACAGCCCACCAACAATTTCCCAACATCCTCATCTACCGATATTTCCTTATCTGATGACACCCAGCCACCATCTCAGTCCAGCTCCAACTATGGCCTTCCTCCCAATGCCCCTCCGTTATATACACCAACCTATTTCCTGTCTGGTGAAAAGCCTCCACCATACGTCCCATAACCTGGAGACCATCACCGAGAGACTGTTAAGGCTGAAGAGGAGAAATCACCACCTTGGCTGTGCTGCCCATGCTAGCAGACTTTTGTGGATGTCATCATGTCATGTTGTGTGGCATGGTATTGGTCCTCTTCATACCCAAATCATTTGCAACCAGTGGACAATTCATGGAAATGAATTGCAGGCGGATCTTCTGAACTAGAGCAATCGGTCAGGCGAAGGATGCATGTGGTCATTTTCAACCTCTCTTTTCTGCTATCATTGCTCCCTCCCCATAGTAACTATTTTTTCCCTAGTAGACATTTCAAAGACAGCAAAGTCCTGCTCGAGAGAGAGCCCCACACACTATTCTAGTGGCCCAAGACAGACAATGGGGATGTCCATTTACATCCAAGGACAGGAATGGCCAGCTCCATCCACATGGAAAAGAAATGCTGATGCACATTTGCAATAAACGTAAAGGTTTTCCTTGCTCGAAGGTTAGTTGTATCCAATTCTAGGGGGCGGTGTTCATCTCCATTTCCAAGCTGAAGAGCCAGCGCTGTCTGAAGACTTCTCCGTGGTCATGAGGCCAGCGTGATTAAACACCAAGGTACATGGAATGCTGTTACCTTCCCACCAAAGCGGTACCTATTTTTGTGTGTGGATCAGAGGTCATTTCGGGGGGAATCACGGGGGATCACAGTTCCCCCGGGGTGAGGTATGGGGGCGGGGCACATGACAAAGCCCCGCCCCCTGCTTCCGGCCGCCCCGCTTCCGGCCCTAATTCAGCCAGGAGGAGGCAGGAGAAGAGGGAGGGTAAGTTGCTTCCTCCCTGCCTCTCCCCACCCCTGCCTGCCTGGGGCCAGGGAGGGCCTTCGCGGGGCTTCCTCACACTCCCGCTGGCCTTGCAGGTCCACCGCCGGGCCCCTCATGGGGCTTGGCAGTGGAGCTAAAGCCACTGCATCAGAGAGTTTGTCCATGATGTAAAAGTCCCAAATTTTTAAACGCCAAGAGGAGAGAAGAAGTTTGTTGGAGCTGGAAATCCACCCCCTAGCTCTTCTTCTACGAAACGACCCCTGGTGTGGATCCTCTTTGCTGGAACAATGTCTAGGACTCTGGCTGCATAATTTCAGTATCTTTTACTTAATTCGCAGTTCGTTTTGCCTTTTTAGCTCCAGTCCAGAGAATTCAGATTGCACTGTACAGAGAAGCAGACAGAGAGAGATTTCCCTTTCTCCTTAATGTTAATGTAGTACCTTCTTTTGGGTAAAGATGTCTTCCAAAAGATTGTGACACTTATTTTACAATAAAATATGTTGTGTGTAATATATTTGTACTTTTAAAATCTATGCATGTTATAGAAAGGAAAGAGAAAGCATTCAGATTTAGTATGAACTTCTGAAGAGTAAATATTGAATTATCAAATTATTTTAAAAGATCTGAGGCTATTCTTTTGTGTGAAGAGATTGTGCTGTGTCTAACTTAATACTATCAAAAATAAAGCTATCTTTTCCATATGCTACAGATTCATCAAGCTATGTAGTGTTTATTCTTAGTACATAAAGTTTATCATCATTCACACCTGAGGGATGCAGGTTAGAAAGCCCTTTATCTTCTGTTTAAAATGGGGGTGGGTGGGTGTTTTCCTTTGGAATCACAAACGAGGCCAAGGGCCAGATACCGACAAGTGAGCCATCCCTAATTTAAGAGTCAATTCCTAAATTTAGAGATTCTTAAAATACGCCAAGGAAGTATAATTCTGGGGTGAATGTAGAAAGTGTGGCAACACAGAGGAGTAAGCTGGAACAAAAAATAACCAGGACAGAGGGACTTTTCAAACCAGGGAGAGAGGGGGATAGAACAGCCAAAGGCTGCATTGGAAACCTTGTAATAAATGGGAAATTCAGGGAGGAAGCAATACACAGGACTGATCAAACGGTGAAGAAGCAAATGCATGAGCATGGCATCACCTACCTTCTCTCTTGATGTGCACCACTGATGATTAACTTTGTGATTTCCTACAATGGACTTGCACTTAATAATTCTGTAACAAGTTATCACTCAAAAAGCCCATTTTGATCAGCTGTGTGCGGCCAATACTGAGTGAGTCCTACATAAACAGAGCACTATCTAGAGAATGGGTGGATCCAGCCAGCTTTTTTTGCTTAACTGAATTTTCCTCCTTAATACAGCCCCTGTCCCACTTGGCTTTTGTCCATGCAGGTCCCATAAACCCCAGGATAACCATTTTAAGTGGTAAAAGGGCACCCCATTCACCTGTTTTCACTAGTGGAAAAGCTGGTTGGATTCAACACAGCACCTGAACAGTCCTATGACAACGAAAAAAAGCAATGCATTATTTTGAGTGAATCTGCAGCAAGATACTTCGCTGATTAAAGAATGAGTAACATAATTTGGCATTCATTTCATACTGGCAAATTAACTGAGTAGTCCAGTGCTTGCAGCTACTGCTCACCACTCATACTGGGGAAGCAAATAGCAATTCACATGTGATTTGAACAAAACACTTCCCCATATCCATGACTGGTTTTGTACATCACAGTGGCCTATGGCAAGTTCCACTCACCTGCTCACTGGGTTGAATCCAGCTCACTCAGTTTCCATTCTGGAGCTGGTAGAACCAGAAAAGACAGCAGATCTGTGCATGTCAGCTGGAGTACTGTGGGAAAGCAGCTCTATTCGCAAATGTTTGAACTGTATTTTCAACCTGTGATAACTTACATAGGACTCAGTAGGGAATTCAAAGTCTAGAGGCTTGCTGAAAAAAATGGTTTGGGGGCAGAAAATGTCCACTTATAGAAGGGGAAAAAACTCCTCAAAACTACAGGCTTTCCAGCACTTGGCTTCAGAAACTAATGATCACGCTCATAACCCAACGAACTCTGGGAATGGCTGCAAATATCTATAGGACAACTGTGCATTTGTGTAGTGAAATAAATGAAACCTAGGATGGCACATTGGTTTTTAACAACTGGGATGGTAGCTGCCACAGACCCTCTGAACATTCATGATAGGGAAAGGTGGGGGATAACCAGAAAACGGATCAACAAGGAAACTGGAAATTGACAAAGTACTTGAGCCCAGTTTGATCTAGGGAACACTGTCAAACAAGTCCCCACAGCTGTTGAAAGACCAAATGTAACAGGCTTAACTCAGGTGAAAAAATATGGAGAAATGTGCCTATTTCACTGTGAGCAAGAAGAATGCAGAATGAGAGAAGGAACGTATGTGCAAACAAACACTTCTGGCCGTCCTATTACGATAGGCAGATAACAGAGCATCTTTTGTCTTCCTTTCATCTAGGTGCACTTCATCACACTCATCAAGGAAAGGAAATATTTGTGTTTAACAGCGCAGCCACAGGATGGAGCCGCACAGGGGTGGGGGAAGAGAACAGTGGGAATGAGCAGGGGTCTTCATTCCCTTTGTACACTGATATTTTGGGTGCACATTGTGTGTGTATGGGGGAGAGCTCTTCTGTTCCTGCACACCAATTTAAAAATTCATATAGATCACTGAAGCTCCTCGCAGATTTCCAGTGAGGAAAAAAAAGAAAAACATTGAATAAGCTGAAATTACATTCTCTCTCTGTAAAAAACAGAAAGAAATTCATAAAATTTATTGCAAGGCTGCTCTGACTCAGAACCACACTAGACAAAATGTCATAAGATCTGCTACTGGATCTCCCATCTCCCTTTCAAACGTCTCCAAGTAGGAAGATGATTATGTGTAGTACTGTGTACCTTAGATGAGAACTACAGGCGCTTGGTGAGATCTTTTTTTTTTAACTCCCCTTAAATCACTCCCCCTCCCCACCCCCAAGCAGTGTCTGCAAGCAGGGGAAACATATCCCTATATATTTTCCTTATCTGGACAAATAGCATCTCTTGGGAGCCAATTCACATTGGGAAAAGGTTACAGGGGGAGGGGGTAACCCACCACTTGCCCAACATCATGGCCCGAATACACACACGCACACAGAAAGAGCTTTATACTTTTAAAGTGATTGGATCCTGCAATCACAGACGGCACCTGCAATGTCTGTTTTACCCCTTGTATCCCAGGAGTAAGATGCAAGCCGGATGGCTAGCCTTCTGCAGCCTTGTTCTGGGAGGCAGCAGTATTAGGGAACCTAACTCTGGAGCAAGAGCTCATGCCTGGCACCCCAGAGAGCTGCCTCTGTCATGACAAGGCATAGGAGGAGGAAGAAAGAAGCAAGGTAGCCCAAGTCCTCTTGGCTCAGGGAGCCTCCATTTACCTCTCCTGGCTGGCAGAGGGCCTTGAACCAGCCGTACCTTCCCTCTCCTGTGAAGCCTGCCAGGCAACATGGAAAAGTTATGATGTTTGCAGCTGAGTGTCTGCTCTGTATCAAGCTGGTTATTCCATACAGACTCTGAAGCCAGTTCCAGAAGAGCACTAGATCAAGCAGTCAGGGTACTGTAAACCTGTGGACAGGCAAATGGCACAGTTTGCAAGTCCTGATTCTCACACAGCAGACTGTACTGGCTTCTGGTTCGTGCTGAACCATCGAATTCAGAAAACAAAGGTCCATCACATATGTGCCCTTGCTGGTCCATACCAATAATGGCTATTTGCCAAGCACAGCTTTTCCAGAAGGCCACATTCAAGCCTATTGTGCCCAGATTTGCAAAGGTTGTTCCCTAGACAGGAAGCCAATTGTGAAATCTCAATGGTAAATAAAATAATTGATACCAAATTGAACTAACATCAAAAACCATCAGCACCATAAAGACAAAGGGGGGAAAATCCACCCAAAGAAAGACTGTCCCTTGCTGCAGTTAAGTCCAAAAAAGTTTCATGTTTTATTCTTACATATTTTGTAAATCAAGAAGCAGCATTTGGTAATAAAAAAATACAGAACTATTTTAAATCTTCCAGTCCGCACAGAATATATTACCAGTTGCAACATGACAGATATAATCTGTCTCTTAACTACTCACCGTTAGGCAATCGTTTGCAGCTTTGGGTTATTAAGTCCTTTGAACTATTTACAAATATATTACACATTTGAAACTCTCCAAAGCAAAGAAATGTTTCAATAATTAATCTGACATTTGAGTTTCAGTAGCTCTACATAACTTCAGTGTTCAAGAGAACTATACACACAGTGCTGGAAGTCTGAATAATTTATATCTTTATATATATATTTAAAAGCATTGGGAGGGTTTTTTAATATAAAACTTTGGGGGTTTCAATCACATCTATTGATCAGTCTCTATTGGAGGACACGAATGAGATGTGATATCACTGGATTTGTAGAGGGCCTCGTCCAGATCCAGAGCTTGCTGATTGACTTTCACCGTCATGCAGCCATGGTAGAAAGCGGTGACTGGAGTTGAAGTGACAGGAACATCTGCGTTTCAAAGGAAAAGGGAAGGAAAACATCTTTGAAGATTACTACCAAGTTTCCTCATTCTTGTTAACCAAAAACCAAAACCAAGTGCCTTCCTTTTGGCATTCTGCAAACGTTTGTGGCTCTATGACTAACCCTCACTTCCCAAATACTTGAACTGTGTAATTTAGGGAAACATTCTGAGAATGAAATGCTTTTGGATTTCTGTTCCTGCATATAAAGGTTAAAAACTATATAGATTCTCACTCATCCCTCTTTGTAGATTTTCTTCCTATCCTTCTTTACAAGACCTTCTGTTTACTGTTAGATCTGTTTTTGCACCAAGGGTCACAAGGTCTCTACAGCCCTTCAAGTGGGATTGTAGAGGCAGAGTCCAGAGTTCTGTCTGGGAAAGGCTTTCCCCGATATTTCCTTGGCAGAAGGGCTGGATTTGCTACATAGATTATACAGCAAGGACTTTCCTCTATTATAGCACAAAGGATTAATTTAGAAATATCTGCTGCTGTTCTGTTACTGGGGAAGAACTAGATATGCAACATCCTAAGAACAAAGTGTGCATTCTCTATAGTCAACAGCTGATCACTGGTGTGGCACTGAGAGCACAGGGAAGAGAAGCCTACCATATGCTCGTTACAGTGCAGTCAGATAAGCAAGATCTGATTGGAATGATGTCCGTTCTTCAATATAATTAACATAACTACTCCAAATTCAATAACTATGCCATTCTATAACACCTGGAGACATTCAGATTTGGTCATTATTCTGAGGCCTTTGCCATCTGATATCAGTTCCACAGCCGATGGGAAGGAAGAATGACTCAGCAGATGGGAACCTGCTCGGGATGTCTGAAGAGTCAGCAGATCTTCCTGCTGAACAAGATCAAATCGACTAGCATTTCTCCATACAGCATTTCCACCAATCACAGTAGTTGCCTGCTGGCTTGGGAAGACGTTTCTCAGTTCTATACAAGGGTGGTATCCTCTTATCACAGGCTGTGCCTGCTAGGGTGGGAGATAAAGCTCAGGTGTTACCCACCTCCGGGGGGGGGGGAATAGGCATGCATTTATCCTTTTGGCACAGACATAAATATGTTACTTGCACCTGCTGGCAGGCAGGCAAACAAGACTGTAGACTAGGGAAGGTGGGAAGAGAGTAGGAGAGGCTGAAGCTCTGCCCCCTCCCTGCGACGAGAGCAAACATGCACATCAATGGGAGAGATCAGTGAAAAAAGAAAGGATATGATATGATATCTCTGTACGTGAGAGTCTGAGATCTGACTATGGAGAACTGCAGATGTCAACAAGCAGCAGTGGTGGCACCCCACAGCCACAAGACTGCTCATCCTGGTGAAAAATGGAGAGCAATGTCTACTTTTTTTTTTTTGGCACAGATAAGGCATGGGAGAGGGAAGCAAAATTATCCTCCCACATACACACTAGCTTTTCTGCACCCCACTGCTTGAAGCATGTTTCTCCCAGCCTAGCTTCAATACCAGAAATCAGAGAGGGAAGCAAAATTCTCCTCCCACATACACACTAGCTTTACTGCACCCCACTGCTTGAAGCATGTTTATCCCAGCCTAGCTTCAATACCAGAAATCAGATAGGCTACAGGAAATATGCAGAAAAGAACCAGATACAGTAGGGTGAGTGTTCCATTTAAAAATAGACCTCCCCACCCCCATGTGAGAATCCCAGCAGAAAAGAAAATACACAAACAATGTTGTCAAACCTTCCTTTGCCTTCTACACAACTGAGAATTTTAATCAAATTGGTTCCACAAATCTGGCACAGAAGATCTTTTGGGTGGTGATTTCTGAGACTGTGTTCCCCGAGATTACTATAGTTATTCCTGAGACTGTGTTCCCATTGAAACCAGTGGAAACGAACAAAATAACGACACTGAACAGGCTTAAACACCATGATAAAACAAATTGAGTTAATAACAAACAATTTTGAGCCCAAAGTGTTATGTTTTCGAACAGGCTTAAACACCATTATAAAACAAATTGAGTTAATAACAAACAACAATTTTGAGCCCAAAGTGTTATGTTTTTTGTCTACAGTGTACACTGTTTTGCAAATGACTCATATCTAGTACTGTTTGAACGAATCAAAGTTTACTGCCAGGCATGGGACATGCATACAGGATACAGATATTTATCTGACTTTAGGGTTCCTAACTGCCTGGGGGGAAATGTCCTGCCCCTTTATCAGAGGCTGAAAGGGATGTTATTTGCCCCATGACATTATTTACCTCCAAGCTACACAAAACTTCATCTCCCTGTTTCCAAACATCAGGCCTCAGTTAAAGGCGCAATTTATTTTTCCCATCAGGCCTGTTAGCAACCCTGTCTGTCTCATAAATTGTCAAGAATCAAGCAAATAGCAGATTTCTGTTCTTCTCAAATGCGCTGAAGGAAATTTGTACTAATGAGACTCAGGGTAATTACGTAGGTCATACATCTTTTGATCAAAGCTTCATTGGAAGTATTAAACATCTTTCAGTAGATGCCTACCAGTATCCATGTAAACACTGAAGCAAGAAGAGAGAGACAGAATTTTAGTATAAGCCAATACATGCAGAAATCAGCTTATATCAATGTTATCTGCTACTATTAATTCATAAGCTACCTGTTATTTAAAACTACAGAGAATCACCAACTTGCACCCATACACACACATTCACACACAGAGAGAGTGGTTTTGAACTGGTCTCTCTAGCTAAGGCTGTAAGAGCACCTTTATCTGCAGCACCTAGCAGAAAAAGCCTTTTGTAGCTAAGAGATAAAACAACCTGCTAATCTCTGCAGATCAAGCTGTTGTTCAAGGGTGTAGTAAAGCGGGAGTGGATGGTGGGACTGAAAGTGTAATGGAGTAAATGTTTTCCCTTTTTTTGCTTTGAAACAGTGGCAAAGTTACACCTTTTAAAGTTCATTGAAGTTAATGGATTTAGAAGGGTGTAACTCTGCACCGGGTGGCACTGAAAATCACAGACTTTTGTATGCATTAAAACCTGACATAACAACCAACAGCACCAAACAAATTAGAACAAAGTTTGAGTCCAGTGGCACCTTTAAGACCAACAAAGTTTAATTCCGTGTATAAGCTTTCGCATGCATGCACCCTTCATCAGATAAAAATAATTGAGGGGAAATTAATAATAAAAGGTACGATCTTACGGAAGCCACCTGGCACTGTTTGATGACACATCATCATACAGCAAAAAAAGGGACCGATTTCTTCATTAAAATCAGATTGAAATATCCATTGTTTAATAAGCATGATTGGATTTACCGATGTGATTTATCCATGCTTTTTTAATGTTCTCATCTTTTTCTTATCTATCATGTTTGTCAAACTGTCTGAGGGAAAAGATGAAGGGCCTACTGCACAGGCACTGCAGGTGAAACAAAAATACGCCCCCGTCAAAAAAAGCCCCCAATTAATAAGAAAAGGAAGATCTGATGAAATCAGAAAATGTGAGAACTTGCAGAAGAACCAGACACTATCTAGGCGGAGTGTAGTGCCATCTATACAATAGTTTAGTCCTGTTCAATTTAACCTCATTCATAGAGGGGGGGGAAAGCAACTGGGATGGTATGAGCAGTCCCACACATTTAGAACCCTCCGTGTTTGGCAGCTCTGGATTTATGGAAAGGATCTTCCCCCCCCCCAGG